GAGTTAACAATCAAATACATGCAAATCCAAATGTTTTGTGCAGTTGTAGGTTTGTGTCACGTCATTTTTTTTCACTTATGCCTTGGGACTGCTTGGTCAAAACCATACTGATACAGGTTTGCTCTGTTTGTGAGACTTTTATTTGACACTAAAAGCCCCTGTTGACAGAAGCGGTAATGTTTCTTCCGCCACAGTTCATCTGATTTCGAGGGGTATCTGACTGAATCTGACCTGGTGGCAGGCATTAAGAAAAACTATACAGAAATATAGAAATAGCCAATATTCTTGCTAAAGGTTTTGTTTGTTTATCTTGGTCATATAGCGGCATCAGTATTGAATTGAGACCCTTTTATAACCAGTTAAAAACTCCTTATAGTACGTTTAACAATCAATGACCATAACATTTCCTTGTTGAAACTGCTCTTTAAGAATTTTTTGACATTTTAGGGCAATCCGATAATCAGCAATTGCATCACTTGTGTGGGAATCAATTCATGAAATGTGTAGTGTACCAGTATGAGCTGCACAATGCAGGTGTGAATTTCCTCTTCTCAACTTTTTGTTTTCATTTGTAGGCGACCAAAGACCTGGAGAACTTTGACAAGGGCCGCCACGATGAGTTCAAGAGGTACGAAATGATGAAGGAGCATGAGAGGAGGGAACGTCTGAAAGCCCTGAATGAGGAAGAGCGCAAGAGGGAGGAGCAGCACTACGAGGAGATGAAAAAGAAACATGCAGAACATCCAAAAGTTAACCACCCTGTAAGAGACTTGCTTTAGGGAAGTTAACTGATGCAAGTAGAGATTACAACTCATTTAGTGACATAGTATTAAGTGTCCTCATTTATTAGTTATTATGAGATATTAGTTGGTAGAATTATTAGAATTTTAGGGACTATGCAGAACAACATTATTTGTAACATATTGTAATTTTGAGTACCATCAAAAAGTCATGTTTTATTTTTCTTTTTAAAGTGTAAAAAAGAAATCCTGAAGTAAACTACGGTGATATGTTTGAAGATAAACTGACATCTACTGTGTGTGTGTGTGTGTGTGTGTGTGTGTGTGTGTGTGTGTGTGTGTGTGTGTGTGTGTGTGTGTGTGTGTGTGTGTGTGTGTGTGTGTGTGTGTGTGTGTGTGTGTGTGTGTGTGTGTGCAGGGCAGTGAAGACCAGCTGAAGGAGGTGTGGCAGGAGGCAGATGGTTTGGATCCAGAAGACTTTGATCCCAAGACCTTTTTCAAAATGCACGGTAACCAGAGACTGTATCTGTGTCTACAGAACGACTAATGACTACTTTCTGCTCTCTTAAATAAATGACCAGTCAAATCGACCTTTGAATTCTACAATCTAGTGACAAACATCTTCTGCCAAATGTGTTGTGTGTAGACTAGTGATCCACTAAGCAAGATAAAGCCGAACACACTGTTGACATAGTATTAATCTGAGTAAATTTATTTGTATAGATGAAATTATCTTTTAAAAACAGCCGTTTGGTTTTGCGTTGCAGACACCAATGGAGATGGCTTCTTTGATGAGAGCGAACTTGAAGCTCTCTTCACTAAAGAGGTATTTATGTTGATGTATGTATGACAAACTGCCCTGATGTTCTGCACTTTTTAGAATAATGTAATATATATAAATAAAGAAGCCTTAAAGGTGAACTTTGTATCCGTATGTGTCTTCAAGCTGGAGAAGGTGTACAACCCTGAAAATGTAGAAGACGACATGGTTGAGATGGAGGAAGAGAGACTGCGAATGAGAGAGCATGTTATGAATGAGGTGAGCCCCACAATAACAAAACAGATATGGAAGCTATCTCATGTGTATTATTGCTACAGTAATGATCAGGCCCCACAAATGGACCGGGCATACTTTGAATGAAGTCAGTAAAAAGATAAAATTCAGTCAGTTTGACCATTTAACATTAACAGAGGTAGGGAGTTGAAAGGTTGAAGCTTTCTCTCCAACGATTAAATTTGAAGACTTCTTATTGGCTGTTCTTTGATGTACAGGTGGACACCAATAAAGACAGACTTGTGTCACTGAGCGAGTTCATGGCAGCCACAAAGAAGGAGGATTTCATGGAAAAAGATGAGTGGGAGGTAAGATTTTCTAGAAAAGTCTGATAATGGAGACAGAAATGGGAGGTTTCAGGGCATCCTGGTAGCTCACCTGGTAGAGGTGTAGTCGCCATGAGTTCGACTCCAACCTGTTGCCCTTTGCTGCGTGTCATCCTATTCTTTATTCAATTTATTACATCCTTTAATTTCCTGCCTCCACAGACTTTAGATCAAAACCCCCTTTACACGGAGGAGGAGCTGAGAGAGTATGAACAGCAACTGGCCCACGAGGAGAATGACATCAACAAAAAGTCGGCCGAGCTGCAGAAACAGAGGGAGGAGCTTGAAAGGAAAGAGGAAGAACTCAATGCTCAGAAGTTGGGGCTACAGCAGGTGAATTTAGAAATGAATTATTTGCAGATGATGTACAATCAGGTATCTGGATTTCTTCCGTCTGCAGTCGCTTGACATGTGCAATAAATGTATAAAAGTAATATCCCCACTGTAACCCATAGTGCAAATGAGTTCAAATAATTTTGATGATGTGCATGATTTGTTTGCCTGTGAAACATTTAATTCCTTGTAACAACACTGGTGAGCCGCACCCAAAGGTTATTGTACAGTACTGCTTACTGTTGCCAAGTTCACGCAAATAACTTATCTATCTTATCTTATATCTTAGCAATAAATTTGTCATGGTGTAACTTAATGTGTAGTTCTGGTACTGTTGTTCTTACCAAATATTTCTGCTGATAAACTGAGCAGAGATTGCCACTTATTTTGTGATGTTCTAACGTTCTCCATTGTGTTTTCTCTGTTTAGGCAGTAGAAGAAATGGAAAGGTTAAAAGCTCAAAACTCAAATGTTGAGGTCAAACGTAAGTACTACATTGCAGTGATTGTTGTTTAAATCCAGTTTAACCAAGAAGAGTTGACACAGAACAGACTTTTACACTAAAGCACAGTTAGAGATATCAAAGAGGTACTCCTGTCATTTAGTATTCTATAAAGTTGGAGGACTCAAAATAGACATTAAAAAAGAATGATCATAAATCAGCAGAAGCCAAGATATCATGACTGTTAGTTCCTAGTATGAGTTAGCTACATACTAAATGATTGAACCTACAATTCCCATAACGCAAATTAATACATCTTTCATTAGACCCCCTCCCGTGAGGAGTCTTATTTGTAAGAACAGTAGAGGTACAGAATTTAAACATTTTCAACTTCTGCACCCCCAGTAGTAACATCCAAAAAATGCTCAGTAGAAGTTGCAAAAGAAGAAGGGACATTTGAAGCAAATAGACCCACTCCTTTAACCTAAAGGCTGTAGTCTTTCATCTTCAGCCACATGATCATGTAAATTCAACCCATCAACCTGATCCAATATGACTCTCTGTTGCAGAGCCGGGAGCTCCTGCAAGTGAATCTGCACCAGTTGTACCAGGAAACAGTCAACCACTGCCCCCCGGTCACCAGCAGCAAGGTGTACCGGTGCCAGGACACTCTTAGCAGGGCTCAATGCTCCGTGTGCTGTATGAATGCCAGTGAGCATGTGTGCGTGTTTGCCTTGTAATTATTCCAATTTTCCATTTTTGTTTAGGATTTTCAACAAAAAAAAAAAAAAACCACTTAACAAAAATCTGCCTAAATATTAAGAGCACAGGCTTGTTCAGGCTTCAGATTTAGTGCCAGTGCCCATTATGCCCGATTTGGCTGCATAAATCAGACTTGAAATGTGGAGCTGGTCCAGTTTTCTCTGTGTACAATCGACCCTTTTGTTTTTGTCATTTTGATCTTTTATCACAACAAGGACGCCCATGTTCTCCATGGGAAGTGCTTTGGGGTGAAATGGGAGGGCTTTTGGCCTGATATGTGAATGTTTTGTTTAGTGCACACTGCAGTTCATTGTCACTGATACTGTCTCTTAGAGAAAATACTTTTGAAGATTAATTTATTTATTCCATTAAAGGGAGCCAGTTCAGAAAAATGAATGTCAGAAACGTAACTTTAGAGAGTTTACGTTGTCCTGCTGGCTAATGAATGAAATGGTCCTATTTACTTTACTTGTATTTCACCACGTTAATTTTCACATTTGTTTTGTGTTTTTATTTTTAGAATGTGACAATGTATACCTAGGTCGATGTGAAAGTATGCTGTCAATCAACATTTCAAAATCACAGTTGATTTTGTCCTAATACCTCTAAACTGTTTTATATAAGTTCTTAAAAGGAGTCCGTACTGCAACAACTACCCACAATTCTCTTCAGCCATCATTTTGTTGGGAAATTCTTCGAAGCTATTTTATTTTTACAGTTTAATCTACATTCCTTCAATTGTCCTTTCCAGCTGTCGTCTCCTTTTGGACCAGATGATTGAAGGATATATTTAGTTTACAGAGTTACAGATATATTTAAATCTTTTAATTTAATCTAATTGTAATGGTGTTAGAGTGAGGGTTGTATGGATTCTGAAGTGGTTTGTTTGTGTGTGTGTGTGTGTGTGTGTTAACTGTGTTTGTGTCAGTGCTTGTGTGTGTCTGTGAATCTTTGTGATTTTTGAAGATAGAATACTACTAACTATTTTTTCTCTGCATGCTGTGAATTAAACAGCTGGTTGTATTTGACCTTGAATTGAACCATCACCTGGTGATGAGAAAACCTCAATTAAACTCCAAAAAGAGTATAATTAATATACTTAATAAATATATATATATATATATATATATATATATATATATAATTATAATTTTAGATGAATACAACAGATAAAATGACATAAACATATCATATCATCATATTTTAATGATAATATACTGGTTGATTTATTTTTACGGCCCCTTTTCAAAAAGCAGTTAAATCTGTCCACCAGCCAATGTCTGAATTCATGAAAATGTTGTAGAAGGTTTGAATGTGGACAATAAAGTGAATGAGCTTGCAGATTTGAGGTTTGTGTCTCTCCTTTTTAAAAAAATCATACACACTAATAAAAATAACTTGAACAAATAAAACATACACATTGACTCACTGATTATCTAATAAACACAATCATATTCAGAACACAATTTAAAAAATGTAAAAACATTATGGATCCAAAGTGACATATTCATCATTTTGACGAAAATAAGACTTTCCAGGCATGTCTTAAAAGCTCAGCAGGACAGCAGTCGTCTGTTGACAAAACGACAACACACTTATAATCAACAGTTGTGTATGAATGAACTGATGGGTCGAAAATTTAGTTTTTTCCATATGAGTCATTGAAGCGCTCAGTGAGGTAGGTGCCCGCTGTCACTGGAGGGTATTTGTTGGAGCCATCGCAGCAGGTGATGAGAGCCTCGTCATCCGGCTGGACAAAGAAAGCCATAGACTGACGTGTGCGAGAGTCTCCAGCAGGGGGCAATAAGACTCTGTGGAGCTGAGAGACAGGACAACTGCAATAAGAAGCTTTTACATTAAAGAAATTAGTTTTTTGGTATCACTTAATGAATTCATAGTGAACTTGAACCTACTTTTATTTTTATTTCCTATTGTATTACTATAATTCTCCTTTAATAGTTATAGTTAAGCTGAAATTGGCATTGTCCTACAATGTCTGGTACAATTACTATAGTTCAGTCAGGACCACTTTTATCAAAATAACTTTAATTAATTTCTAAAATGCAGAATTATATATCTGGCAGCATGACTCTGTTCTGGGACCTACCTGCCCTTCCATGTGCATCCCAGGGTACAGAACAGAGCAAGCATCAATGGCAACAGAAATGACATTGATTAAATCAGATACAGCATAAAAAGAGGAGCTTGGGTGGAGGGGGGTTGCAAAGTAGTTTGCAGAGGAAGCAGCAAAGGTTGGCAGGCTTAAAGCAGCTTAAATAAGGCGCCCTGAATGACATTTTCCAATTGGATGCTTGAAGGGAATCAGCTGATGTAGCTGGAATTGAGGGCTGAGCTTGACTTTGTGGCTAACAACCAAGTGGTCCATGTGTGTAAAGTCAGTGGTCTCCTATTTTGTGTACTGTAATAGTTGTGCTACAAGCCAAACAGATCTATTGATTTTTGAAATCTTATTATCTGTATTTCTCGTACTGACTGAATAGCAATTACTCATCCTTTGATATAACCTACTGTAAATGTAGACACATTACTGTAAGTTATTCAGTGGTAAAGTCAGTAATGTATCCCTTATTTTATTGTTGTGCCAAACATAATAGCTGATACGTCTTGTTAAGCCCCATGCACGTACTTGTGTCCTTTTTATAATTAACAATTCAATAAACTAAAACAAAAGACTTAAATCCACCAAAACGTTTTCATTCAAATGTGAGACGCAAAACCTCCTCTCAACTCACCACAGAGACAAGCTGATCGCTGGTCCATCGCTGCAGCAGGTCAGCGACATTGATGAGGACTGCTCCGGGGATGCTGGGAGCACAGATGAATTCACCTGAACGTCTACGCACCTGGAGGTTGACAAGTGTCAGGTGAATTACATGAATTTGTGTAGATGTAGTCCTAAGGCTTCACTTAGTTTGAACAGTTTATATTTAGTCTTGAATTCAGAGAGGAGGAGTTGTCAGTGGGTTTTACCTGCAAACCTTCAGAGCTCTGAAACAACAGGGTGATGCTGCCATAGTCTGAATGCTCTCCACATCGCAGCTGACCCTCCTTCACTTTCTCACTGTTAACTGGTGGGTAGTACAGAGACCGCAGTGTTGTGCCGTTCTGATCAGCTAAAGGAGACACAACAATGCTGTTAAACCTGCCTGGTATATTAGTATCACAGGAGTATAGAGTTTACTCTGGGCTCCAGGTTCAGTACTACTGGGAGTATTTTTGGCTGTGGTATAAGAACAAAAGGGTACTTAAAGACTTGGCTGTTGTTCCAGTAAACAGGAGCCTGTTGGATACACAGGGGGTCTTCCAAGATGATGATTTTTTTGTTGTTGTGTTGGTGACTAAACGTTGTATGTTTTTTTTCATTTTCATTTTCATCTTTAATGCTGTTGTTACTTGAATTATCTTGGATATTGTGTTATTACATTTTACATTGTTCACATTTACACACAAAAGGATCTTAAAGATCTTATTAGTAGAAAGTTGATTTTTTTTTTTAGAAAGTTCCTCTAAATATTAAGTCTAAATCAGCATAATTAATGCCTAAACTTGACTTCCTTTACTGACAATGTGGAAGTCAAACACAGTTAACTAGAGCAACGTTTGAATAAATACACCAGCTGGTAAAGTGTGTGAGGAAACTGCATGGGTAATGCTGCACTTCCTTAGTAACCATCACCTCTGTGCCCTTGAGCAAATCTCTTTTTAGCCACTCAGCAGATTACAATATTCTGACTTTTAATGTGTATGTTGCATTTTTATGTACTGCTCCGTAGTTTAATACAGCAATGCATCATATTCTATAGGACCATTGTATGTTTGTATCATCGCTGTACTATGAGAACCACGTATCTCTTAAGTCAACTTTTCTTGAGCTCAGAAAATAAGCGTAAGAAGTTTAAGAAAATATTATTAAGAAAATAAGAGTTTTCAGCTTTGTGACAATTACTTTTCCAGCTAATCCAAGAGCTTTTTAAATAATTCATTAATTACTAATTAAAGTTAATGTACTTTAAGTATAAGGAACATTTTCATTCTTCAGTTTATCAGAAAACATTGGAGATACATGGTTTTCACAGGGAGGGTATGAAAAACTGTGCTCTGAAAAGTAACAAGTAACTGAAGCTGTTGGACAAATGAAGTGGAGTAAAAAAGTATTGGCTTCTGATATTTAGTGTAGGAAAGGTATAAAGTTACCTAGAATAGAAATACTCAATTAAAGTAAAGTACTTCAAATCTCTAAGTATAGCACTTGAGTAAATGTACTTAGTTACATTCCACCACTTAATGTGAGAAGGTCCACACACACACACACACACACACACACACACACACACACACACACACACACACACACACCTCATAAGACCTCATGCAGATAAACAAAGGATCAAGTCAGAATGATCATCTGATGTGGACTCATTGTCTCTCTACATGACATCCAGCTTGAACCCAAGCAACAACAACACACTCCATAGTGAGCGCAGGGAGAGTGGTGTTTTGTACATACTTCCAATTAAACGATGTGCACCCAGGAAGACCTCGGGGTCCAGACCCAGACTGTGGGCCACCACCCTCAGCACCCGCAGGCTCAGCTCTTTACAGCGCAGGAAGAAAGACGTCTGGATCTCCTGGAACCCTGTTAGAGCACCAGAGGGCCATTTCTATAGCAGATGAGAACAGAATTAGAGCCTGAAACTGGATTTGTGCAGACAAAACTGACATTAAAAGTTCTTGTTATTCATTGTTTTAACATAAATACATAACATAAGCAAAAATCTTTTCTTAAAATTGGTTTAAAGGTTCCAAATGTTAAATTTTTGCCAATAGATTCTCCTAAATGTTACACATTTGACCTTTAAAAGAATAAAAATATGGACTGAGCAGGACACTGACCTCAGACATATATATCTATATTTCTGTACTGCATTTTCCTGGCTTCTGTTTCATGTGCAGATACTGATATATCTGTGATAAATCAACATCGGCTGCTTATATTAGCATGAAAATACTCAAGTAAAAGCATTTAAAACCTTATTTAAGTAAACGTATTATCAACCAAATTGACTTAAAGTATCAAAAGTAAAAGTACTCATTCTGCAGAAAAATGTTCCATGTGAATATTTTCTTACTACTGTTTTCAACTCTTTGATATAAAAACAAGCTTCAGCTTTGTGACAATGCTTTTTCCAGCAAATCCAGTTCAGGCAGTAGGATGATTTTCTCGGGAACACTTCATTTTCAATTTCAAAAATTGGAGATGGATTTCATTGGAGAGGAATTGTGTGAAAAATTGTAATCTGTAAAGCAACTAGTGACTAAAGCCGTCAGATAAATGTAGTGGAGTAAAAAGTGCAATATTGATCTCTGAGATGAGAAGTAGAAAGATGCATAAGAAGGAAATACTCCGTAGGCAAATTGAAAAAATTTACTTAGTTACATTCCACCCCTATCATGAGGTAGGTCTGTTGTATAAAATGAGCAAAGTCTAACTCTGACAGTGAATCATTACTATGTCAGGGTGAAGTGAAGCAGTGTTGAATGCCTCCTTTAGGTCTCCAGGTCGACGTGGATTCAACCTGAAAAGCAGTTATTCACATTTAAAACCAATAAATTGTGCAGATAAGTGTGTGTGTGTGTGTGTGTGTGTGTGTGTGTGTGTGTGTGTGTGTGTGTGTGTGTTGTGCTCATTTTCTGATCTACCTCTCAGTCTCCAGAGACACCCAGCCGTGGTTAGGATTGTTGGCAAAGCTTTTCCTGGTGAACGGTTGTTTCACTTCATCTGGCTGCAGGAAGAACCTCTTGGATATGTCCATAACACGATCCACCTATCCAGACAAACCAGGAGACATCTCACTCTGAGCACACACCAAATAACTAAACTTCATTTTATTTGCTGTTCTCACCTCCTCCTGGGTGATCCCCGTGTTCTCCAGAAAAACAAAACCAACTTCTGTGAAAGCTGTTTTCAACTCTTTGATCAAGTTGCGCATCTGCTCGTCTGTAACATCTTCCTTGCTCAGGCTGTACGCGCTAAAGTCCACCACCGGGATGCTCATTTTAAAATCAAAAAGTCTCTCTGAAAGAAGCTGAACAAAGAATTGCAGGATCTCTCACACCATGGATGATTAAAAAGCTGCTGTCCATCGGTTGCGACCTCAGGCTGTGTTGTCATGTGACCTTTTTTTCCAGCCAATAGGAAGAGAGATCATAATGGTAGAAAGAATTACATAATAATTGATTATCCTTTCACCTTTGGGTGATGTTCGCAGGTAATGTGTAGGTTGGCGGCTGGCCAACATGATCGTCCTCATTTTAATCTTACATTTCAACAAGTTGGGTTAGTTGCTGAGGTAGATTGGTACAGTCCGGACTCTTGCTGGTGGAGTCGCACCTGAGGAAAATGTTTGATTTGAAGAAAGAGTGGAGCATCTCCTTTGCAGGATGCGGGTTTATGGGGATTTATTATGTGGGTGCCACCAGCTGTATCCTCGAACGATTTCCTCGTTTAATACAAGACGCCTCTAAAATCTACGGAGCGTCTGCGGGTGCTTTGATGGCGACTGTTCTGAGTGTTGGAATCCCCCTGGGTGAGTTGTGGGTTCCCTCCACAGACCAAACTTCATTAAAAAATCTGTCATTTTAAGTTAAGCTTTAGTAATTAGCTAATCAGCTAGTTTAAATGAAGCAATATTCAATTGCATTTCAACCCCTATTTTTTATTATATAACTCGGTATAGGCCTAATGCATCAAGCAGCATTGTCCATTGATAAATCTCCAGTCAATGCCAATACCACTATCAACACCATAGGGAGTTTTTTTGTCTCAACATAAACTTTCTAGACTTTTCTTTATTTGTTTTTCCTTAATTACTGTAAGATATTGAGTTTGCAATTGCATGTCTATCTTATCAGTCTCTTCATGGCCATGTAAGAAAGCCTGTGCTGATATTCTGATATGCTCTGTGTTTGTTTGTTGCACCTAGTTCGGACATATCAGATCAGAGTTTTCTGAGATCTTAGTTAAGAGTTGGGCCTGGTTTCACAGACAAGGCTTAAGCCTAGTCCCAGACTAAAATTCCTGTTTGAGCTGTCTTAACTCAAAGCAACTTGCAGAGATTTATCTTAAAATAGTTGTAGATTTATCCCGTTCTGGATTAAACTATGATAATTGCACAATGGAGGTTACTATGACCTATCCTTCAAGGAGACTGGTTTAACTTCTGCTTAATCCTGCTTGTGACGATGTCTGTAGACTATTTGGAACATCTAACATGCACCTGCTTTCCTCCTTTTAGTCTTGCTTACTCCAGGACTCCGTTGTCTTTGACTAACTAAACCAACTTTAAGACACATTCGTGAAAGCTGATTTAATGTTCTAGTTTAACCAGTACACATTTGTTTGACAGTACAAGATGCATAGAAAACATACACAAACACCTCTGTGCAGAGAACTGCTGTGCTGATTTGATGTTCATGGCCAAAGAGGGCAGGAAGCACAAACTTGGGCCCCTGCACCCAGCTTACAACCTGCTGCAAATAGTAAAGGACTCTCTGGTGAGAGGCCTTCCAGAAGACGCCCATGTTCGAGCCACGGGGAAGCTCTGTGTGTCCCTGACCAGAGTGTCTGACAGGAAGAACGTACTAGTGTCAGAGTTTGACAGCAAAGAGGAGCTCATTCAGGTAAATGTTACAATTTGGGAGTTAAGCTGACCATTTTGTTCACAGTCTTCTGAGGCCAGGACACAGTTAAGTGTATTGATTGAGAACATGATAGTTGCCAAATAAAAGCAGTAAAACGGATTTATGATGATACTGTCATGACTTATTTTTATATTTAAGATTGTGAAAAGCTGACTAGACACATACATTTTGTAATCTGAGGGAATGCAGAAGGACTATGCGGGGGCAGTAATTGGAGTTACCCTCCTTTACCAGAACTGGAGAAGTGATTCTGCTGGTGCAAGTGTTGCAACCGTTCTTATTTTTCCAGTTTATTGTCATATCTGATGCAACCATTTTATCTTGTTTACTGTTTTGATCACCAGTCCTTCTTCCCTGGAAATAAGGCGGAAAATGCATTTAGCCCCAAAGAAAACTCTTTTTTTAGAAATCACTACACCATTGTTTGTGTTGTGTTTCTGTAACTAATATGCAGTAATATCTGCACTTTGCAGGCCCTTATATGCAGCTGCTTCGTCCCCTTCTACTGTGGTGTTATTCCACCCACTTACCGTGGAGTGGTGAGTGAACCAGTTGTTATACTTAAGCTAGGATCAGGGTTGGGAGGGTTACTATAAAAATATAATAACATTTCTGGTTCTACACACTGATCAGCATCCCCCCTTTCCACTCAGCGTTATGTGGATGGTGCCGTCAGTGACAACCTGCCACGTTGTCACCTGAGAAACACAATCACTTTCTCTGCGTATGCTGGTGAGAGTGACCTCTGCCCTCGAGGGAGCACGTTGAACTTCCACGAAGTACGCTTCAACAACGTCAGCATCCAGGTCAACTCTGAGAACATGTACAGAGTGACCAGCACCTTCTTCCCCCCAGGGCCTGAGGTGAGACACAAAAACTCAAGACAAGTAATACAAGTGGACCGTGAACACCTGTAATATTACATAGATTAAACAGATTTAGCTTGCATCCTTACCAAGGACCTTTGGATTTTACAGGGAATGGCTGAAATCTGCCACAATGGCTACATAGATGCTCTCCGCTTCCTGCAAGAGAACAGTAAGGAGATCTTCTACTGTTGAATATACATGTAAACAGAAGGTAGGGAACAAAAGTGTGGCTGATGGTGCTTCATATTGCAGAAATCATATCATCTAAATGTCCATCACAGATCTGATCAGCAATGAGTGTCCAATGAGAAGTTTGGAGACCGATGCCACCAAACCTGCTTGTTGTGAGCTGGTGAAGGAGCCGACTGAAGCTGAAGAGTCCAACAAGGACACACAACTGGATGCACTGAAACCACCTCAGGAAGAGCACGGGTGGCTGGATCCTAAGCTCATAGAGAACCTCCCAGTTAACATTAAAAAGGGTAAAAAGGCGTCTGGCATGGTTGTGATCCACAGAGAAATCCTCTTTGTTTTGTGTCTTTGTGAAAAAACACACGCAGTACAGAAAGGATTGTGATTGAAACCAATGAAACAATAATATGAGCGCTATGCCAGTACAGTAAATGAAATGCAGCAGAAGTAAATATGTAATGTTTGTTTTTCACTGTATTTGTGACAGCATTGTGTGAGGCCAGTAAAGAGAAACATACTGCTGGTGGTCTGTTGTCCCAGATGACCAAGAAGAAAGTGACTTCTTACCTGCAGATCCCTTGTATTCTGCCTGTGAAGTCAGCCTACTCTCTAGCCCAGAGGTATAGTCTACTGGCTTGTATTCAACAATACAAATTATTTCTAATATGCTAGTGTGATGTTATCTTTGTTATTATCTTGAAACTTCACCTGTCTGGTACTGTAGTCCAAACAGGTTACAACAAATATTACAGATGATTTGCTAATACTGGTACTCTTTGACATAGATGTATTAATAACTGTAAATTGATATTTGGCTGATGATAATTGTCTTAAAGTTATTTTTGTCTCTTGCAGCTACCGAACTAGACAAATTATTTTTTGGTTTCTCCAATATATTTTGCAGGGAAATACTGTACTACACTACATTTCTCTGACAGCTGTAGTTACTTTGTATATAAAGGTTTTTCATTTGACATAAAATAAGCTGATAATCATCAGCAGCATCTATTTCTTGTTGTCCCCCCCCCTCAACTTATGTGAAGGCATGAAAATCCCCAAAACTAAATATGTCTGTTGTTCACAGTGAGAACTTTTATTCTTGAGTTCATTACTAATATTTGCAGCTTTCATTCAAGTGAAAATTTTAACGATCTGTTACAGATTATTTTCCCCAATGCTGAGTTTATTTACATAAAAGTTCTGAGTACTGCTTCTACCACTGCCAGTATGTGCTAACTTGACTCTCCAATACTTTGACTGTTCTTTTTAGACTTGTGGGCTGGATCCCAGATGTCTATGGCATGGCTGGAGACATATGCCAACAAGCCTCGAAGGACAAGGTGGAGGACTATGATGGGTATGCAGTGAAATTTCTCCTGCCCAGAAAAATGTCTCTAAATGTGTTGCAATGCCTTAAAAACCCTCACGTTTGGAGGTACTTGAGCTCAGCTCAGCTTTGAGGTAAATGGTATTGTTTTCCTGAACTTAAGAGTTAATTCTGGTATGTTGGTCACACTGTCTGGATCATAAATGAAAAGTCAGGGGATCACTCTCAAGCAAAGTGGTGGACTGACACGCCAGAACTGCCAGTCCTAGAGCCACAACGCCAGCCTGACTAAAACTGAACTTTCCTTTGTCTCCACACTGTGCTTTTTCCAGAGAGACAGAACTGCGCCGGTGCACCAGCCTGCCATCAGGCCTGAACCTGTGGGATCAGACAAAAGAAGACATCAACACTCTCCCAGTGACCCCAGACACTTCTCCTTCCTCCAGTCTTACCTTCACCTGGAACACACATAGTGAGTTGGACCACATATCCTTGACCCCACCCCCTACACCCACCTTCAGCCCCACCCCTGGGTTTGGTGAAGCCACCACAGAATCACCTAAAAGCACAGGTAGAGGCTGGGCTTTGGGCAGAGCCGTGGGGTGGATCCGGAATATTGCATCCGAGCAAACTTAAAACCAAAAGAAAACAGATGATTCAATATCCTTTTCTGCATTGAAATAAATATATTTAATATTAGACTTTCAAAATGTTGAATAAAGGAATGCAAAAATGTCCTGTGTTTTATGGTGTCATTATCAAATGTGTTTTCAGTCTATGTTAAAGCTTCACTAATTCATATTTTATCTCAAATCATATTACTGTATGATTAATATAACATTAATGTGTGTAATGTAATGTATGCAGTTCCATCTGCATATCAGCTCATTGGAACTTTTTAAGCATTTAGCATCTTTCAGCTCATTATTTTGGTCCTCTGGCCTGTAACTTTACTTAACAAATAGACAAAGTTAGGGACTAGCTGGTGAACATAGTGGTACTTATCATCTAAAGAGCCAGATATTGTTCTCAGTTGGTGGGTGAATAATACCGGACTTACATTTGTCAGGCAGACGCTAAACTAATGAATGCTGACGTTCCTCTCTGTCTCTTCGATGTGTAAATGGCCAACTATTTGCTATCACTTTACATGGTGTGATAATATGTTAATGTTGTGTTGTTGGCTTGTTCCACTGTTCCAAGTGGCCAAAAATAATCGAATGCAACTTAACTAAAGTTAAATGACTACTATGAACTGGATAGTAAAATTTGACCATATGTCATTTTAAAGGTTATATATATGTATATATGAGATTTAAAACATTAATATGGCAGCAAACAACTATTTGCTGTGTAAACATATAGTGGAGTCCTGAGCTGAGAATGATGTCACAGTTACAGCCTCTCTGTGGTTGGTTTACATAGTGTAAACCCTACTCCCTCTGCACCTGAGTAGAGTAACTCCTGTTTTTCTCATCTACATTGTTGAATTAAGGATTTATTTTGACCAAACCAAAGTTGGTGATTAAATACTTTTTGGCTGAGTTTTTATTTTGAGTTTTATTTTGCTTCACTTTGAATTAAGTTGCAGTATTTTTATGGAGTCTGGTGGCCAGGGATAGCGATATTGCAGCTGTTTCTGGTCAAACGAAAGGTCTGCAGGGATCCTTTCTATAATGTTCTCACACACTTAACAATCTGAGCCTGAGTCAGTGGCAAAAACGAGCCCAAGAATTGTACCCCAAGGATTACTGCTGGCATTGTGGCACATTGTTTTCACATTGCTGATGCTAACAAAAGGTTGGGGTGTTATAATATTACTATGGTCACAAACTGACTCAGAGAATGTGACCAGGAGGGATTCAGACAATAGTTTTATTTATCCACAAGAGTAATTTATTAAAACCGAGGTTAGCACAAATGAAAAATGCAGTGTGTACAGCAATAAAAGCAATGAAAGCAGCTCTTGGATGCAGGGTTAGTGTACTATGGAGGTGTTGAAGGTGAAAACCAAAAGACAATGCAGGGAGGATGTAAATAGAAAGGGAGAGGCAGTGTGAACACATGGGCCTGTTTTATAGCCTAAGGGTCCAGTGAACTCAGCTGATGTCCCATGTCAGCCAATCGCTTGCTGAGGTGTGCCAGGACAACCTGCAGGGGCACCGAGAACAGTATGGACAGAAAACCACAGGAACATTTTACAGTGTTTCAGAAAGAAGGAAAAACAAAAATTAGTCACAGATTCAACTGGAATACAGAAAAGAAAATTGGATGTTAGCTCAAAACAGCACCAAGTTATAAATTTATTTATATGATATTTAATTATATGATATTCTGTGAGTATTCGATAGCTGGAAGGTACACGTGAAAAAGATACAGTTGTTTTCCCTCTTGTCCCCCCTCTCGTCTCCTTAGTAGTTACGTAGTGTTATTAAAGTAAGTTATGAAAACTATCACATGTCATGCAGCTGGCCTAACTCCACTTACTCTGCTACTTATGTATGTGAGTGACTCCAACCTTCTATTTTGAAACATGTGACGTTTGAGCCTAGTAAGTTGTGCAATAACTAAAGCACTGCCCATTTTACTTCTGCAAGTGGTGGAGATAAGTGGTTTTTATGTAAATTAAAAACGCAAGGGGATCCAGATGAACCAGTTGAACTCTGATAAATAAGTGAAAGGCCTACAATATTGGTGATGTGGTTTTGAGTTGATGGAAGAGACGAGATGTTTACCTGGGAAGAGGAGTGGAACATCTCTTTTGCAGGCTGTGGTTTCAGGAGTATTTACTACCTGGGAGCTTTGAGCTGTATCTTACAGCAGGTCCCACAACTGGTTCATGGAGCCTCTAAAATCTGTGGAGCTTCATCTGGTTGTCTCGTGGCTGCAGCTGTGACTGTTGGGATTCCCATCCGTGAGTTTACTGTACATGGTAGATCAGAGTTTGTCCAACTCTTCAGGCCAACTCAAATTGTCTATCATTTTAATAGGTATTTATACAAGGATCTTTTAGCTTTAACATACTGACATTTGTTCTTTGTCTCATGGTGATCACCTAATTCATGGAGGAGATACAGTTGTATTACACTACTCGATTATGTAATTAAATCTGGCATCGTCTCTCTATTATATATGTCTAAAATAAGCTAAACCTGACCATAACTTTACAAGTACATGCATTTTATGTAATGAAATCTGGTATTTTTCTCTCTTATATATGTCTAAAATAAACCCTGACCCAAATTTGCAAGTAAATAAGTTATGTAAGTTATAGTGGGTCTCATCTCTCGTTATTTCTCAGCTCTTCATTGACAGTCTGACAGTATGGATTTAGTCAATGGATTCTGATTATAATAAAAAGCAAGTTAAAGCTGTGTGTTTTAATATCTATCTATATATATATACATATGTATACAGACTGTAGTGCATGACATATGTCTGACATGTTTACTACTAGTTTCCATTTTCCTTCTGTAGTAATTAAAGCAGTTTATCATTCAGAAAGTTCAGTGATACGTTATCTCAAAGCAAGTGCTGTTATTGATACTTGGAGTAAACAGGGTACTTGGAGAGGTTCACTGCCACACACAGAATTCATGCAATAGTGAGAGCAAATTCCAGAGGTCACATGAGGGTTTAAAGCCAAGGACGGCTGAATGAGTAAAAACACCTGTCACTTGCCAACACACAACATTACACAATATTACAACAATAAAAATAAAACAACATCACAATAATAAAAAACACCATTATATTTTTATCATTTTGATCATGTATCAGCTGTAAATCCGCGGTAGAAAATTGATAAATTGACTAGCAGTAATAGAGCAACAACAAGGAAAGAACAGTGAGGTAAGAAATAAATCATCTGAAACAATATGCCTAAGAGTTACTGATTCCCTACAATATCCAGAATGCATTTCACAGCTCTAACAGAAGGAGCGCAGTGAGTCTGCAATTGAGTCACGGTTAAAACTTCTTCAATATACCAAAGAACCACAAAAAAGCTAAAGAAAATAGCTTACTTTATTAAAGGTTAACCATGTTCTCAATGCCCTTTTCACCTTTATTACTTTATAAATGCAACTGTAATTTGTGACTGATTTTGCTACATTTTCCTCCTCAGAGCAGTTATGTGTTGATGTTTTGACCATGGCGAAAGAGGCCAGAAAACACACTCTGGGAGTTTTCCACCCTACCTTCAGTCTGCTGCATATCGTACGGCACTCCCTGCTGGAGAAGCTTCCAGCAGACGCCCACCTCCGGGCCTCTGGAAAGCTCTGTGTGTCCCTCACCAGACTGGCTGATGGAAAGAACGTTTTGGTGTCAGAGTTTGACAGCAGAGAGGAGCTCATTCAGGTAGAAGAATGATGGAAATAATTTGAAGCCTGGTTTGTTTTTATTGCATCTGTTCTGATGGTATTCCAGCAAAATGCCAGCAGCTGAATGTCTGACATCTGAACTTTTGTCCTGTATCGTCTACCCATACAGGTTCTCACGTGCAGCTGCTTTTTCCCTGTTTACTGTGGTTTCACCCCACCTTCATACCGTGGAGTGGTGAGTAGAGATCCATACATTTTCTAAGTTAAGTTTTTGTAAAGAGATTAGAAGGAATGGTTATACAATATGATTGTACTGCGTTCTTTACTTTAAAGCCCCTATAATCTCACATTTTAAATCCTATAAAAAGGAGTAAAAAAAGATCTGAGGAGGGATTTCTGTTTGCCTATACTAAATGGTGCACGGGGAGAGAAAAATCTGAATACTGCAAGTCAAACTTACAGCAACATGTATAATTAGTAGTAGTAGTAGTGTAGTATTATAAAGAACAACTTTATTGTAAGACCAATGTGTTTTGACTTGTGACCTTCATCTGAGTCATCATACAATACTGCAATCTTGCTGGAGTTTAACCTCAAATAATGTCATAATCATTACATTATCAAACACTGCAAGCTGATCATTTTGAAACTTTTGTGGCCATCTGAGACATCAACACTTATTTCCTTTCTCCTTCCTCTCAGCACTATATGGACGGCGCCCTCAGCAACAACATGCCCCTGTTCGAGCAGAGAAACACCATCACTTTTGCACCGTTCTCAGGAGAGAGTGACATCTGTCCCAGAGAGGGTACATTCAACTTCTTCGAGGTGCACTACGGCAACGTAAGCATCCAGGTCAACACAGGAAATGTGCATCGGATCTGTACATCCTTCCTCCCTCCCAAACCTGAGGTGAGTCTAGTCTTTAAACATGTTTTTTAACTGAAAACGGGAAAAGGAAAATCTCTACTTCTCTCATCTGTCACACCAAGAACACAAATGTATTGAGTTAAAAGACGAGCAAACAAACCTTGTTCTTGACAGAAGCTGGCCGAGATCTGCCACAACGGCTACATGGATGCTCTTCATTTCCTGAGAGAAAGAGGTGAGCTCTTCCACCTTCATCCTCCTCACAACTGAGCCTTTGATTTTTTGTTGTTCATCACAAGCAAAACATGTTAGTAGTCAAATGTCTGTGATAGATCTGCTTGGACTCCAGCGTCTTCCCTCCAGTTTTGTGGCAGAGACCTTTAAACCTGCTCCTTATGAGCTGGTGGAGTCAGAGAAGACATCGTTGAATGGGCTGGATCTGAAAGTCGAAGAGAACCTCCCAGTTAGCTTCAAGAAAGGTAAGGAGGACAAGTGGGACTGGCTCCTAATAATCAGGCCACAGGTTTGCAAGTCAAACAAAGGGTTAAGTTAATATCAAAAAAGGCATAGGTTCAATGGCCATAGGCAGTATACACAGACTGGGATAGAGAATAATGAATGCCCTGATATTAAAGTTGGTGTCCACATTTTGTGTATGTGTGTGTGTGTGTGTGTGTCTCAGTGCTGTGTGTGGCGTGCAGGGACGATCAGGATGGTGGCAAGTTCCTTCCAGTGAAAGTGGTTATGTATCTGCTGACCCTCCTAATGCTGCCCATCGAGCTGGCTGTCTTACTCACCAAAAGGTAAAGCGGTTTGATCATGCAAGCAGAGAGGAAGGGGATGAAGCAAGAGAATAACTGTCACTTAACATCCATCCATCAACAATTGAAAAACTTTGTTTATGCTTTGATATATTGGTCTTTTCTCGTGGCAGCATAATGCATATAATATTTAATTGCAGACTTTTGACGTCGACCACAGATCTCTGCAGGCAGACATTGTGCAGCAGACACGAAGACTCCAGCAGGTAAGTGCTTTGAATAATAATTCATATTTTTTTGCCAGTAAACCGAAAACCCTACTTTTGACGATGCTCATCTTTGTATTCTCCTGTGCATTTCCAGAGCAGCGCAGCAGCGGCAGGTCCTCTAACTCAGAGAGAAAGGGGCAATAATATCAAACCTTTGACCTCAACTTTTCACTGGGACAACAACTGGACCTCTTTTCCCCCGCCTCGACACATGCAGGTCCATCCAAACATAAAACACCTGCATGGGGTAAGGTGACTTTAAACCACAGAATTAAATAGACTCTTCTTGCACCATAAACCAGGCAGAAAAAAAGACAGCAGTGACCAGCAATTTCAACCAAGACTCAATTTGGAGTTCAAGAGTTGACAAGAAAACCAGTGTTCATTTCAGTGCAAAGGGTTATCTGCTAAATGCATCAATTTCTGGTTTTCATCTAGACTGTAAGAAAACAAGTTTTAAATAAGTTTACTTAACAAAATATGTGGTGTGCCATACCTTATACTTTGTAGGATTGCAAATACGATTTTTCTTTGTTACAGTAGGATTTTCATAGGAAGTATTTTTATTCATATGAAAATCTGAATGATTTTTACATTATCTTGCTTACAAGTATGTGACATCTCAAATACTTCCAAGTGTATGGTGGTGTTTTGTTTTTAGTATAGCATGGCAGTAACAAGCCCCAATGTTTGGAGAGTTTTTTTGAGGCAGTGTGTAAAATGTTTTAAAGTATGTTGATTTCTAATGGACTTGACTTGAAATTCAAAACTGTGAATTTTTTTTTTAGAGCTTATTTATAGCAAATACATCTTTAATTCAAAGGCTTTTAAAGATATGTAAAAGTTAGCTAGTTTGGTCATGAGATAAGATGTTGTCGTTATGTCTAACATTGTCAGATATGTTCATTTACCTCTGCTGACGCATCTTGGTGCAAACCATGTTAGTGTTGCATGTCAGCCCTTCTCTTTTACATTGGGCTCCACTTTTAACTGTTGTCATTTCTTATGTAAAGGCTGGTAAATAATGATTATTTTCATTTGATTAATCTGTTGATCATTTTCTCGATTAATCGATTAGTTGTTTGGTCCATAAAATGTCACAAAATGGTGAAAAATGTTGATCACTGTTTCCCAAAGCCCAAGGTACGTTGTCAAATGTCTTGTTTTGTCCACAACCCAAAGATATTCAGTTTACGGTCATACAGAAGACTAAAGAAGGCAGAAAATATTCACATTTGAGAAGCTGAAATCAGAATTCAAACAATCAAAATAGTTAGCAATTAATATAATAGTGGATTACTAATCGATTAATCCACCAATCATTGCAGCTCTACAAATAACACCTTGTTATCCTCACTGTACTCGGTTTACCCACAACACTGTGCTGTATGACACCTAAAATGAATGAAAGTTAATCGAATAATATAGAAAAAGCATCATCAGGACATTTTAATGGACAAATGTTTCATAAAATTCCTTGTGAATGACATTTTCATAAACATACAAAACATAATTCTAAAAATCCTAAAGCAAAAAAGTGATAATAGCAAAGATTAAAATAAAACCTCATTGAGTGTTGTAACGTTATATTGAAAGGCTCGTCAGAAATTCCTTGTGTGGAATTTCCAACTTCCATGTTGAGTCTGGTTTCACCAAGTGATCACATTGCATTGTGGTCAGTTCATAGCACCATGAATGTAAAACATTAATGCTAGCTGAATCCTCACTTCACACAGAGGATCCTATAGGCTCACACTGATCAGTCAAGCTCATAAAATAACCATCTGGAGTTTTATCTACTGTCAAAACAGTAGACGTGAATGTTTACAATTACTACATCTTGTGCAGTATGGTACAGTACAGTACAAAGGCAAAACAAACATTTAAATACATGACCTTCTCCAAGGACAGTCAAGCATCATTGTCAAGTCCCTGATTTCACATATTTAAAAAGACTGTCCTGAAGCTTATCATACATGTATACAAGACCACAAACAAAATAAAAAGAAAAAAAATATTTCCAAAAAGTCCATCTATGTGTGTATATCCCACTCGGACCCTAATAAAAAGGAAAACAATCTAAAACCTGACAAAAGAGTCTTTTCCTTATGCACTGCCACCCTTTGGTCCACCACTGATGTCTGGGATCTGATCTGCGAAGGACTGGGTCATCCACTGTCCGTCTGGGAGCTGGCCCTCTGCTGTTTGTGACGTGGCTGCCTCGGGTACTCCTTCTGTAGACAGACAACACACAGACTGAAGCCCTCTGCTGCGAATAATGTGACAAGTCTGACAAATATACAGTATATTGGTATCGGCATCAATACCATCAATTATTGGCCAAATTGTTGTTTTAAACATTGCTATTGGCCCAGAATTTACCAATCGGTGCACCCCTATTAAAAACTTGATGAGACGCATACATGGCTAAGAAATTTGGTTTATCCAGAAGTTATTTACTTTCAAATATGTGTCTGTATAAACAAAAACATGCTGCACCCTGATCGTTTACAACGACAATAACATTAGCCTAAATTTGATTTAATAAATTGTTAAGAGTGTGATACACTCTGCAGAACTAAACTGCTTCCCCTGTGTGTGTTACCTCTGTTTTCTACAGACGAGAATGTACAGTGACCGTTGGTCTGGGTTTGGGCCTGCTCCCCTTCAGGTCCTCTCTCTGCATATGCTCCACCGTAGGCATCTTCATAACCAGGGTCGTACTGCTCCTCCTTTATCGCCATCCTCTTGGCATCCTCTGATGGCGGAAAAAAAAAAGGAAGAAGAGTGAGTGCCTGAGTGACATGATCTGACTGGATCTAGAGATTTAAAACAAAACACGTTGATCCATCCATGACTGGGCTTACCCTTGGCCAAATTCAGGTCAAACGAGTATTCAACCTCCTCGATCTCAGTGCTTTTTTGGACACCCTTCAGCTTATCTCTGAGCTCCCTCAGTTTGATGTAGAAGTGAACTTTGTCCTGAGCACGAGGGAACTGAGCACAACGGGCGCTGGAGGAAGGCATCAGATACAGAGCCTGTACAGGAGAAATAAATGTCTTAACAATCCTTCAAAGATGATACCTACAGTTCTCATTTTCTAAACGGACAACTCTTGATTTATGAAAATGCTATGGGCTATAAGTCTTATACAAAACAAATATTTAAGATGTTAACAGAATTTATAAGAATTGCACCACCATTTACGACTGCTATCAAGTATTGATCTGAGCCATTCATTTCACTGAACAGATAAGACTTGACCATTTAGTCTCTGGGGTAAAATGCAGAATACATCTATTTTGAGAAGCCCATTTGGAAAATGAGGCTGGCTTTCATCAATATTTGAGGAGTCTATAATGAAATTGCAAAGCAATCAGGTGCTCACCACGTCACATTCGGGGATTGTGTGTGGCTGCAAACCAAAGTCAAGTTTCTTTGGTTTTTTTCCAAACATCTCTCTACAGAACATTTCATAGATGCCTTAGGAGGAAAAAACAGAAATATATTAGTTTGATTCACTTTAACAAATTATTTTATTGTGACCATTGCTCTGAAGTAGAAGAGTGCTTACATTTTCCATTGAAAACAGCAATAAGAGGTTTGAATTTCTTCAGTTTCTCTACAAGAATTTTGCCTCCTTCACGTAACTCTTTACTGTAGAGATGAAAACAAAAGAAAAATGGTTACAATACATCGTTACAACAAAACTCATCTCAAAGCTAACAGGAATCTCCTAACACAGTCAGTCATTATGATTCCTCTTTACCCATCCAACTTCAGAATAAACCAGGATTAGAGATGTTCCAGTACCATGTTTTCCTTCCTGATATCGATTCTGATACAAGTACACTGTATATTATTATAATTTAACACACGTATACTATTAAGCCTCTATGATTGCTATTATTGTTGTATGGCCTGGCTCAGGTTAAACCCTTTGACAGAGTCAGAGTAGGGCAAGTCATGACTTTGTTATCCCAGGAAAAAAATGCACAGACATGCAAATACCTGATACCACATTGTACGCAGTATCGGAACAACTTTACTCAGGATGCTTCCACTTTGCCCTAAATATAGATTTTATGGCTCCAGTAATATCAAAGCGATGCCACGTCTCACACTATAGGCCTACCTTGAGAGGTCTTTGCTCCCTGGTGTCGCCCTGGCCACCATGTTGGTGAAGCCCATTTTGTATTTGACAGGCAGGCTGGTGTCATGCATGTGGTTGAGTTGCTCCTCAGTAAATCCAGACAGAAACAGGCACTTCCCTGAAATTAAAACAGTACCCAGTTATTCATCTCTGTGGCTAACACAAACATGTATTTTTCTGAAACTAATTAATTGACAGCATGTGACAGCATCCTGCTTAATCTTCACTTATAACATGGGACAACTTAAAATCATTCTTGTCACACAACTTACAAAAATGATTTCCAGGACCAGGAAACCACCGTCCAATGTAAGCTGCCATCAGTCCTGGATTGATGCCAATCTGAAAGTAAAGCGGCAGATGTTTTTGAAGCTTATGATCTCACATTCATTCAAAAAAGCCACGGTTTGGTTCTGTTGTAAGACAGATGGACAAAGAACCTTACAATGACATAGTCCAGGTTGTAATCCAGCAGGTCTGGTAGAGTTTTTTTCATGACTTCCTCCTCTGACATTCCCTTGAAGCGGTCAACTTTCCTCTTCACCTTCTTGAAGCTCTCATCAATCTTTTCTTGCTTGCCATCTGCCTGAGCCTCAGTGGCCTTCTTGGGCTTAGGACCAGGTTTGGCTTTCGGTGCTTTTGGGTCCTTAGGTGGCTTCGGTGGCTTTGGGATTTTTGGTGGTTTGGGTGCCTTGGGTTCCTTGGGTTGAGCTTGTCTGCCTCGCTTTTTGGCTGGGGCTACAAGAAAAGTTCAGGGAGGTTATATTATAAGGAAGAACTGTCTGAACCGTCACCATGCCCTTGCTCTTTGTTGAACTGTTGACAGACTCTAAAGCTCATCTATATCTTACTTCATATTACTCTATTTCATTTAATTTTTGAAGTGTCTTGACGCATATCAAACTCATGCAAACCAAATAGTACTCAAAATTATTTCAGAAAGACACACATATTTGACAAAGCTTTCTCCGAAAGCATGCTGATCTATTAACAGTTAGGATATTTTATTCAAAAGAGATCATAGTACGTTTGGCCAGGTTGGCAGGTTCCTGCTGATCCATCATGGGTTCTGGATTAGCCATGTGTGCCATGGCTGTCTCTCCCGCCGGCCCCTCCGGGTAGTGGAACTGATGGTTGGGGTTGAAGCCTGAATATTGGGCCTGGAGAGCTTGAAACTGTTGTGCAGACTGAACCCTGTGGTGGAAGAATATTTCTTTCAAAAATGGGGGAAATAATAAATACAACAAGTGAAATGGTAGTGGGGTGTGCTGCAGGGTTAAAGCTGAGTTAGACCAGTGTGTTCTGTAAGCTGCGTGCTTTTTTGTTTGGTTGAACTCTTTTCTGTATTTGAGTTTTACACAGCAACGATTAGTGACTTTGTTTAATTAATTTATAAACGTAACTTATGCACTTTTTTTTTTTTTTTTTTAGATCCGAGTCGTTAGTCGCCAGTTTATTCAATGAATGAAAACTGTATTTAGTTTGCCAGGTTAGCTGAAAGTGTCTCAGAGAGGTAATTGTGGAGCTTTACGTCAATGAGAATACTAAATACTAGAAACACCTCTTTTAAAAAGATTTTAACACTGAACATTATAACCTTAACAATGGCAGAATGTGTTGGAGCACTCTTGTACAAAGTCTGTAAATTTGTTTTAGCAAGGTGGACCTAATAAACTGGCAACTGAGTTGACTGTAGATCAAAAAATGTGGAATCAGTGTAAATCAGTGTATCCGTAGTCTGTCTCTATATCCTAGTGCTTATTTTCACACCACACGGAAAACCCACACTGTTAGTTCCCAGACAACAGTGGTCAGTGAATCAAAGAGCTTCATGACATTTGCAGGGGAAAGGTCAGATATTCCACCTCCAATATGTCCTCCTTGTATTAAACCACAGTAAAAAGCCATTGAGCTACAACAAATTTATTCACGGTGCACAAACCAAATGGCATATTATGAAAACAATGACAAAACAAAAGTTAAAAGGCCAACTGGGCGCACATGCTTTCATTTAATTCCCATCACACTGCCATTCAGAGGCTTGCAGGTACAATCTGACTCCTGTGTGGCCACATTGTGGTGACGAGGAAGACTCACCACTGTTGAAGATACTCCGGGGAGACAACAGGGAATGATCCATTCAGCTTTTCTTCCATCTTTTGGGTGGTTTGACTTTATTAAATAAATCAATATGGATGTTGAGGAAACATAGCTAGGTTATGTACATGTGGTTTAGCATATTAAAGAGTCTGGCCGTGTATGAAACTGAATGCATGTGCCAGGAGTTAGCAACAAAAGATAAACCATAACATAAACAATACCAACAAAAGGATAACTTAGGTGGTGATTACACATTCAAACATCAAAAACACTCGTTTGCAGTATTTCATGAAACGTACAACTACACTAGTATCTGTACTGTAACATTAAATTCTTGGACTAAACAGCTACACCTGCTCAAATGTTTCTTCCCTCTTCAATAGCTATGCTAACTCACAAGCTAAACCCGGATGAAAAGCAGCCATCAATCTGCCTTTTAAAAGCAGATCTAAGATACACTGCTGGGCCTGGCAGGTAAAGGTACGAGTTTGTATCTATCTCATTTCAACTGTGGATGTTTCGTACTCGAAATAATTTGTTAACAGCAATTCAGTAGCAGTGCCTCAAGTGCAGCTAATGTTAGCAGGCAGCTAGCTGTTGAGCTAACTTAGCATGGATGAATGGTTTCGTTTCCACTGGGATTCCTCGGGAAGAAACAGCACTTAGTTCACCAGTATTTAAAGAGTTAAACGAACCTGTTGAGGGTACGGTTCAAATGTGTTTCTTCTGTAAAGAGAAGTGTTTATTTTCCATCTATCCCGCTCTTCTATTCACAACATACGAGACGCAACAGAGGCAACAAAGACATGACAGCACTGCCGGTGTTCCGGTCAACTTTGACACCGGAAGATCTCAAGTCTCAGTCGTAGGTGTTTAAAAAGAAAAATATATTTAAATATAAACACGAAGAATGACTATAAAGCAGCATATTTTAGATAATCGAATTGTATATCATCTTCCTCAATAAACCTGTCTGAATGTGGTGTTTGTACTGTTAAATGCACAATAAAACCGAAAACGAACAAAACGGTCCTCACCTATTTTAGCATTGGTATGAGCCGCTCGACTTTTAAACTCCGCCAGGTTTGTTTCTATTGGCTGCCTGTAATGTTTAAAGGGTTGTGTTTGTGCAGCTTGTGTGTGTGTAATTTGCCTCGTGACTATCGGGCATGCGGTTTTCCCCCCCAGTATTGAATTTAACACATGATCAATAAAAATAAAAATAACGTTAATAACAGTTCAAACACACTTTTGTGGCGTCTTACACAGTTTAAGGGCTCAAATGTTCATCTTTAAATCATTTTAATGTTTTTGATCTCTTTACAGCAGCAAATATGAAAGTATCTTACTATACTGTTCCCTATTTTTGAAAATTAGATAGTGTTAAAAATGAATCTTGTATTGATCCCTGCATGGAAATTCAGGGCAGTCACTGTGCGACGCCTGGGGACCAACTCCAGATCTGAGCCAGTGCCTTGTTCAAGAGTAACCAGACATTTTGTTTCCTTACATTACAGGTTATATATTACAGCTTCACATGAACAACTTACAACAATGAGACAGTAAATGTGCCAGCTTTAGAAGAGATTTAATAACTCTGTAATTACAGATTAGAAATTCCAGAGTACAATTACCTATTTATACAGCTGATAAATCATAAAATGTCATTCTTTTAAAATACAAAAATAAGTCACTGGACACACATACCATACAAAATGCAATAAATAGTGATAAAAAATTACACCAAAAACATGCACCGTTTGTGTGAGAGTTAGAAAATGTAACCGTTGTGGGCATTTCTCCCTTGTGCGTCATTGCGATGCCTCAGAGGCTGTATGACTCCTCTTTCTCTTGTGGTGTCATCAGAGGGTTGTGTACCCTCATTAATGCCTCATGCTACTAGTACAGCTGATATCTGGTATCTGTTGAGCGAACATCTCCAGCTGCAGTGATTCCATGTTTTCCGCTGACTGGCCTACAATGTCCGTTTCTGCAAGAAACCACAATAAAGATGGATTTTGCTGCTTGAAGAAGACAGTTGTAAGTCATTAACCAATACATATTAGTAGTAATACTTCAGCATTCATTTCTAGAAACCACTTGTTTTGTGTGTTTTATGTTATTTAATGCCAACTGTGTAAACTTAAAGATGCCCTGTGGAGTTTTCTTGGAAACAAAAACACAATTATTTTTAAGTTCAGTGTTGCTCACCAAAATGGATTGTGTGTATCCTTGAGGTCAAAGTTGTTTTTCTTTAACAAAAAATGATCTGGATTGTTTACTATCCTTTGTAGCCGATTGTGCATTATTACAAGATATCTTGGTCACCATTTGCAGGAAGATGTAAAGTTATATAGCTTGTATACACATAAAAGGGACCCACTCATAGAAAAACTACTCCGTAACGCTACTACTAGAGGTCAAAAACTCCACAGGTTACCTTTAACACTCACGACAACGACTTTTCACACCATCATTTTTGGGACAAATCCATTTTTACTTTTAGGATGGTTCAGGTCGTTCACTTCATGTCAGTATTTAATGAAAATGAACTCAGATTTTAGAATTGCTTTAGATAAATCAGTCACAGTGTTTTGGAGACATTATTTACAACTACTACATTATATGCACCTCAAACTATTAATTGTTAAATTTATAAATAAAAAATAAATCCCATCCCATCTAGTTCCATCTAACTTTAATTAGAACTACATGGTAACTACACTACCTGTGTGCTATTGCAGACAAGCTTGTTTTTTCACCTCTCCTCGGACTCTTTTAGTTGGGGGTGTTGCTGCTTTGCTTGGCGTCGTCATGCGGCCCACTACAGCTTTCATACTCTGGATCCACCTGCTCTTCTTTGATTGCAATCCTCTTGGCATCCTCTGCAGAACAAACACAACAACAAGGAGTTAGATCTTCATCTAAGATGTAAATATGTCTTTAAACACAGTTATGTCTGTACATGATGTTTCAGAAAATGAGCAGGTATATAGCATATATAGCTGAACTATACAGCTAAAGGGATTGTACAGTTTACCTTTAGCTAGCTGCAGATCGAAGGAGTACTTTGTCTCTTCCACCTCGTGGCCGGGTAACTGCCCTTTCATCTGGTCTCGCAGTTCCTTCAGCTTGATGTAGAAATGTACCTTATCCTGTGCACGGGGAAACTGGGCACATCGGGGGCTTGACGATGGCATCAAGTAGCACACCTAAGTGGAAGGAAATACACTATAAGGATTGTTGTTTGTACTGTAGAGTATATCTTAAGAGTAATCAAGCAACTGTTTCAACATACCGTTTCAGTTTCGGGGATTTTGTAGGGCTGTAGACCGAACTCGAGATTCTTTGCCTTCACGCCAAACGTCTCCTTGCAGAAGATCTCATAAATACCTGCCAAAATAAACAAATGTCCACACACTGTGAAACCTACCTAACGGCTTTATGAATAAGCTATCAGTAAACTTACAGTAAGGTAGTTTCAGTGTTTTAATTATTTTACCTTTTCCATTAAAAGCAGCTATTAATGGCTTGTACTTCTGCAGCTTGTCAAGTAACTGTCGACCTCCTTCACGAATCTCCTTACTGGGACAAAAACATAAAACCAGCAAAATGTTATCTATGTTTGGTTCAAAGGACAAACTGGATTACATCGGTGTAATGGTGATTTTTATTCAATCCTCACTGTGTATTGCACTAATTCTCAATGAAAGTGTTTCTTTCTATTCACCTGGAGAGATCCTTGCTGCCAGGTGTGGTCCTCTCTACCATGTTGGTGAAGCCGATGCTATAATTCTCAGGCAGGCTTTGGTCATGCATGTAGTTGAGCTGCTCGTCAGTTAGACCAGAGAGAAACAGACATTTCCCTGGATAAGAAAGAAGAGTTACTCATTTTATTAGTCAAGTGGCTGTTGAGACACACAAAATACATGTTTTTTTAACAGGTTAAGAAATTCTTTAGTTATTGCATTTGTACTGAAGCTACAGGAATGTGTCAGCACACACAGCTGGACAATATGCAGGTTTGTTTTCCAGCATAATTCAGTTTTATGGTTTTGGCCAAGCAGTAAAATGTTATATTGTAAAGGTGATGTGCTAACACTGGAGCTGCCAAAGTGACAACACCAACATCAAATACGTTTGGCTGCCCTACCAGCATAACAAGTAACAGTGAACAAGACATAAATGAAAACCAAAGACTACTATTACACATGTAAAAGATTCTTTAGAGAAAAGAACAACTATACTTTAAACACAGTGTGACAACAAGTATTCTTGAGGGGCTAAACATAGTAAAGAGCTCATGAAATCATTGCGCACCCTGATTTCTCTACTTGGATTTTAAGGAATGAGTTTATAATAATGGACACATGGCGGATCCAACAGGGCAGAGGAAGTTAATGGGAACGCTGTCATGTATTCCCTGTAGTCAGTAATGAAATTTAATTTCAACATACAGAAATGGTTCCCTGGGTTTGGGTAATGGTGTCCTTTGAAGGCTGACAATAGTCCTGGGTTAATTCCAATCTGAGGAGAAAAATGAAGACGTTACCATGGCAACAGACCTTGAAATTACAGTTTCTAAAAGACTAAAAACCTGAGAACATAGACACGCTGTGTGTAAATGTTTTTACACACAGTAGTACCAATGCACTACTTATCCTAATAAACAAACACATCAAGTCCCCAGTAAACAACTCACTATCAAAATGTCAAGATTGTAGGTAATAACGTCAGGCAAGGTTTTGGCCATAACCTCAGCCACTGACAAGCCATTGAAGCGGTTGAGAGCCCTCTTTGCCTTTTTGGCCGCCTCAATCTCATCCTCCTCCTCCTGCGTCTTGCCCTCCTCCGCCTGCTGCTTAGGAGGCCGGCCTCTCTTCTTCTTCACCGGCGTCACAGCTAAAACAGAAGAGGAAGAACGTATTCAGGTATGACTGATAACAACACAAAGACACCTGCTGATGAATTCACAAGAGAAGTAATTGTCATTAAAAGAGGACGCAGCAGGCAGTGACACAGCACAAACCGGTGAGAGAATTCTGATTTACAGTTTATTTTTCTGCTTATATGTAGTTTAGTCCTTTACACTGTAATTATAAGTGCCCAACGTTTTCCAGAGATCCCTGACAATAAACTATGTGCCAAGTCATAAGATGTACCATGTGCAAAATATAGTATACTCTGACAGATGTGCTACTACAAAAAGTATTATATATATATATAAATACAGTAGATATGACTTAAAAAAAAAACAATTTGGGTGTGGGGGATGATTGCGATGATCAATAATCTCTTCCCTACCTTGAGGTGGACCAGCAGGTTGAGACTGGTGGTGAACACTCGTCTCATGCTGCTGTATTGTATGTTGATGCTGAGGGTGGTGCAGGTGTGACGGATGCTGCTGCTCCCTGATGTTCTGCTGATAGACCGGCTCCTGGTAGTGATTTTGGGCCGAGAGGTGGTTCTGATAAAAGGGATCCTGGTACAGAGACGGCTCCCGGTGGACAGACAGCTCGGCCATGACAGGCTCATCTCTGGGACCTTCTGTGTAATGGCCCATGTTGTGATAGGGCATCACATATTGCGCCTCGGGGTGCTGCTGGCTGGACTGGTACCTAGAAAAGAGATGCACCATGAGAGAAGAAGAGAGGAGGAGGAGGAGGAGGAGGAGGAGGAAGGAAGAAGAATGTTAAAGAGAGAACGAAGAGGAAATGTGCGCAAAAGAAGAAAACCAAACCGGACCCGGACACAGCGAGAGAAGACAAATTATGTCTGGCGGTCAATGGGGTGTGTGTGGAAAAGTGGGTGAGAAAAAACTTACAAGACACAATACTTACAAACAAACATGCGCCGATATATACCTGTTTGTATTCTCTGCATTTCATTCACTGCATGAGTATGTATGTCAAGCTATGTTTCATTGCTTTGTCGAGGCCATTCATTGCACCCACAAATAGGTCTTTTGACATTTAACTTTGTGTGCCGAGGTAAAGCTGACCAGAATGGAATGAAGATATACAAACAAAACTGATAAGACTTGCAAAAAACATTGTGATTGTGATTGATATGAAGTCAACTACAGGTCAAACATGTGAAAAAAGTTCCTTTTCAGGCTGTATCCATTCTACAGTTGGCAAATAGGCTGAGTAAGAGCCTCTGCAGGTGTATTTATGGAGCCTGTAGCAAACGATGGTGTAATAACTGCTGGATAGTGTAGTATCATGTCAGCATTTTAAGAAAAATATATTCAAATGTGTCATCGTATTGTTAAATTAAAATGGCAATTAGTACATTTATTATTTCACACTTTAATTATAAATGAGGGTACTTCTGATTAATTATTAATCAGACATTATGAGTCACCTTCCCATCTTTAGGGCATATATTTACATTTTGACATGTTATTAGCCTTAATAATCACACTATCAGCTGCTACAAGCCTAAATATAAAGTGTATAGATATGCATGATGTTGTGTGTCAGATGCTGTTCAATTTTCTCCTTCTCATGCATGTAAATGAAGACGTCAAGCAGATAACATGAGAAGTTTCCCAGGACCTGCGGCCACCTCCAACACCAACTCACCACTGCTGAAAATAATCCGTAGGAACCGTCAATGATGTATACTGGTTTTCTTCCATCTTAACTGTTGACTTATTTGAATAAATTAACATTCATTCTGCTGACAAATGCATTAATACACACTGGAGATATGAGCTGTGTGAAGATTAGAGCACAGACGGTACATTGCTGGCACAAAGAAGACGGATGGACGCTGCTACAAGAAGCTTTAGCTAACAGTACGCTAATAACATTACGCAGTCCAACAGCTATCTTGAAACCGCAAGCGACCTCTACATTAACGAAACATAAAGGTGTATGAGCAAACTAACATACCTGTCATACATTTTGTTCTTTAGTTTTCAAATAAGGAGACGGGGAGCAGGGAATCCTCCCAAAACAAAGACCATTTAAACGCTTCCGTTTTGCTGCGGTTGAGTGAAGGCTTACCGCCACCTGCTGGTTGTGAGGTGAACTACACGGGTCAGACTGATTATTACGATGCTTGGTCAACATTTACACATTTATACTATTAAAACCAACATTGGATAATTAATTAGAAAACTGCACATTATAAGATAAAATACGCATGGGGTTTATATATTATTATTATGAGTTCGTACTCGCTACCGCTAGAGGGCGATAGATCTTTTATATCTGAAAGACCAACACGAATTTATACCGTAGAAGAAGTTACGGACCAAAGATGGTGTGTTTCCATTAAGAATATCACTCCGTGGTGAATACAGGACCCCGTTAAAAGACACACAAACCGTGAAAAGTTCATATCTTACCCTTCCAGATCATCCAACGTGGTGTTTTGTTTGTTTTGTCTGTTTTGTACAACTTTATACAACAACAGTGTTAGTTGGAAACACATATTATAGCTCGCTCTATGTGGCTGGCGTCGTTTAGCTCTTAAACAGCAGGAAAAAAAATCCAAGTTAAAGTTAGGTGTAGCCTAACCAAGAAAGCAAGAGTTGTTGTTTTCCCATTCAAGCTATAAAAGCAATTTAATCACAAAAGCGGAGTATACAAACGCAGGAACAGACGACGGGAAACATAATATTTGTTTACATCCGTAAACAGAGACAGAGTGAGAGGTCACTACTCGTTACAGCGATCTCTGTGTTAGCTAACAGCATGTCCTGCTTCTGTGTCCCAATGACAGACAGTCTAGTTTAAAATGGTGAAAACCAGCTTCACGTTGCGGTCAGGTATTTAAGTGACAGTGAAATAAACAAGGTAAGGACTCCCTAGCATTAATTATGTCTGTTGCTTTGTCTCCTTTTTCTGTTTATTAAACTTTTAGCCCCGCTAAGTGTCCACCAACGTTGACAGTAACCTCCAAGTCCCTGGATTTACTGTGCAGGTTGTTAGCAATCACATACAGTACATGAGCCTTAAGTTTACACACACACACACACACACACACACACACACACACACACACACATATATGATATTATAATGGATACCTTCACTTGGTAACGCATAGTCTTAGTAGCTGTATATGCAGGATCACAGTATTCAATGTAATCTGCCATAATGTTCAGGTGTATGCTGTTTGGTCCTGATTATGAGGCATGAAGTTACTATTTTAACAGACAATAGCATGTTTTATTTACCAAGAAAGATCTAATATCATGTTTGACTCTGGGATATAATTTTGATTTGGTTATTAATCTCTTGCTCTCTTTTCTGCAGGCTGATAAAGTCTGTGAAGATGCCAGCTGGTGTGTCTTGGCCTCAGTACCTGAGGATGTTCAGTGCCAGTTTACTGTCCATGTTTGCAGGAGCACAAGTCGTCCACCAGTACTACCTACCTGATTTGGTGAGGGACGAAATTAGCCTTTTTTTCCCCACTGTAGCCTGTCTGTGTCTTCTGTAGATGAAATCAATAAACACATCAAGTATTGGGATGCATTATGATGATGATGATGATGATTATTTACACACACATTATGTCCACCAGACTTAGGCTGTAAAATTGTTGCTTTTACTCAAAGATGGGTTTATGGTTACTCTGTAATATATGGTATTCTGTGAAACCTCAGGTGATACTAAAGCCAGAATTGTTCTGTAGATGTTTTCGATCAACAGTAAAATATAAGTGTAGCTCATGAAAATATGTTAATGTGATGTCATATTATCATTATTGTGCAGGGGGAAAATAATACAACACGTTTCAACCAGACAGGCCCAATCTTTCAGTATTAAGAGTGTTTAACAGTGCTTGCTGTTGATTTATTTTTCAGAGTATACCAGAGGTGCCACCAAAGCCTGGGGAGCTTAAGACAGAACTGCGGGGCTACCAAGCCAGAGAAGAAGCTGTTGCTGCACTGGAGCAGCTTAAAGCAGAACAAAAGATGGACTGATGGGGAATTATACATCCTCTGTATGATGGACACTCAACCAAGCAGACTATGTCCAACAGCTTGAGCCTGCAGTTGTCATGTCTGGAAAATCTGCAATCTGTGTTTTCTTGGGACTGAGTGAAGTGGAGTGAAATGCTACATTGTTGGTGTCTGGCTTCTTGGGATGTGGATCTAATCTGGAACGAGATCATTTGGTTTATACAACCATTGTTGTTATACTTCTCTTCATCCTTTTAAATGTGCCTACAAGTGATTAAATATGTAAGAGAAAGCTTCGTGAACACATGGTAATTTATTCTGTTCAAGTGTACAATCTTATTTTTCCCCTAGCAGATAAATTGTATTTGATATAAAACATATTAAACTAAACCTTTGTCATTAATTTGTGATACATTTTAGTTTTCGACAACAGATTAATCATTGAAAATATTTTTGGTTTCCAGCTTCTAAAGCAAATTTAGATTTTATTCTTTTGTTTGTATTGTGTCATTGTAAACTAAATGTATTTTTTTGAATAACAGTTTAGTGCGGCCGTGATGAAGATATCGATCCTTACATGTTTGACCTCGATGCGCTCTGCTGTCACGTTGTTACGTCAGTGAGTGGCTCGCCTCAACCGTTCGATGTTGGCGTATCTTAGCAACAGGCGTAAACAAAAGATAAGTGGAAAAGATGGCGACTCGGAGTGAGGGAGAAGCCGCTGATTATCTCCAGAAACACAACTTTATGGAGCTCTTGCAAGACCTGGCCAGCATGCTGTTCTTTTACAGACCTGGTTGGAGCTTATTTATTCTCTGTAGCCTACAAGCTGCTAAACAAACGCTAGCTTTTTACAGTAGCAAGCTAACGTTAGCTCAGGGGTCTCCGCGGGGGCAGAAACTCAATATAATATCATCTGGTCAAGTCTCACTGTATTGATGAAGTTAGGGTTACTTGTGTAAAGTTGCATTTTCAATCTCGTTTATCATGTTAATAATAATAATAATAATAATAATAATAATAATATATTTTATTTATAAGCGCTTTTCTAAATAATCAAAGACACTTTACATGTTAATGTTATAACAACGAAAACTGACATGGAACCAACTTTATCATCCTTTAAAATCCTTATAAATATCCTTTTAAAGAAAGTCTTAAATTGCATTCATAATCAAAATTCTCCTTTTTAACCTGTAAAAACCTGCAGATAACTTGGCAAAGAATAACACACGTTACAGGTAAAAGACGTTTTAATGAACAAATTATACTTTATTTAGCATTAACTACGTTTGCTGGATGGGCAGAGGATGGAAATAATGGAAATATGATTAATACAGTGTAATAAACATAACCTAAACATAAAACATAACCCATCGTTGTCATACTTGTATAGTTTGATTTGGTTACAAGTATATTTAAATAGAAGAGCAAGTTACATATCAGTTCATATTAGGTTTTATACGGTTGACATTGTTGTCCTCTTGCTTCCCTAAAGGGTTAGCTCCTAAGTTGTTTGATCTTCATTACCATAAACACAATATGTACACCGTAATATTAGTGATTTATTGTGATTGTTTCTTTCATTCAGAGAATCCCAGAGAGTTTCTTATTGAGCAGCTGAAACAGCAGAAGTTTTCTCAGAAGAGTGGCGTGAAAGGGCCAACTCTGTTCAACAACGACGACTTGGCTTCAGTCTTTGGGATACTGGACCCCGCCAAAAAAAAATATATCACTTTTGCCCAGTACAAGCAGGGTGAGAACAGGACATGGACCCTAAGACCTCTCTGGGCAGACAATGCACACACTCCCAGTTTAATTAAACACATAATTGTTATTTATATTAACAAACATAATGCTACGATCACCCAAACAAATAATAAACAATATATTAAAGCATTTATTTGTCAGGTATTAATTCAGTACTTCTGTATTTAACTAATAATTATACTTTGCTTACTATACATACATACGTACATACTCAATATCGACACAGAATAAAAAAAATTTTCTCTAGTGTAATAACTACACTGGATAAAACAATATTAATCACACAGCCTTTTTCCCACAGCTCTGACCACACTGGGAATAAAAGACATCAATGAATGTCCTGAAGGTGTAAATGAAGACAGAATATCCTATGAGACCTTCAAAACAGAAGCGTAAGATCTTGTAAAATCTAAACCGCACGACAAAGACAATATTCACAATAATTTTAATACATCTTTATATTATGATGGTCATTTTTGTTCTCATCTAGTTGTTATTGTGTTGTTACAGGACTCGAGGCCTGCAGAGATGCTCAGCAACATACGAACAGCTGTGAACTTTTCTGTTTTCTTCCTCTCAGCTGATGTGTTATTTATTCCATCATATACTGTTATATATGCATTTGGATGTTGTCATTGGGACTGGGCTTTATGTGGAGATGTATTTAGTATTGTAAATAAACTGCTCATGTTAATATGTATTCTGATTCAGGCAGTTTCAGTTTAAGCCAAGTTTTGCTATTCTTTTTACAAAAATGCATTTATTGTTGTGGAATTTCTTCTAAAAACTGCAAGTTGCCATGCCTCAAGTAATTAACCACATATGGGTGCAAGATGTTATGAGACACAACTGTTTATTAAGAGCTAAGATAACAGAGTACAACAGGTATGATGCATTAAAAGGCATTAAAAAGTGTCACTTTCTACTTTTAATCCCACATCATTGTTCAGTTTAATAATGTTTCATATATACAAGATACATTTTATATGCTTTCATTGAACAAGAAGATATTTTTGTTTACTCCTCAGTGTGACCTTGGGGATTATCTCTGAGGCTGCCAAGCTCAAGTAATACATAAACACATTCAAGGATACAAGATTTTGAGTGTTGTTTTACAACACAAGGTTCTATGTTAAGATTCAGGTAGTGGTTCTCCTTAAAAACGTAATATACCCAAATTATTTACAGTAAAATTGATTAATAAGACATAAAAAGAACAGTTTTTACTGATTTTATCAGGAGAATTGTCGGAGCAGGCCTAAAAGACATATTAAAATAAGACATTATCTATGACAATCATAATCTCTATCTGAATACAAAATTAAGTTCTTCATTTTATTTAATTAAATGAAAATTATTATTATTATTAGTGTTAGCAGCAGTATAAGTAGTATTATTTGTTGTGAATGAATGAAATGACAGTACGATATAATATAGTGTAATTTATTAACATAACAGTAACAATAGTAGTATTAGTAGTAGAAATAGTGATAATATACATTTATTTTAACCTAGGTTATATATTGTCTCATTTTGCAGCGTTGCTGTGTTGAATGCCCACCAGCTGAAGGCGTGGTCAGGAAGTGACATGGCCGCCTCCTTATACGGAGCCTCATCGCCTTCCTCCGGTTACTTGTAGGTTAAATTAGTTAGTCTTTATTCCACACAAAGTTTCACCCATATTTCACCGGGACAGCGCCTTACGGAGCTCAGCATGGGCACCGTCCATGCCAGGGTAAGATGAAAGCTGGTAAACATGTTAGCTAGGACTTTGACCTGTCTGTGTGTTCAGTGAGTTGTCTGACAGAGCGGCTGCTGTGCTGCAAGAAAAAGGCCCACACTGTACATTCAACAAGGTCCAATAATGCTCAGGCATTCAGCTCTGTGATAAGAAACTGAATTACTTCCCTGCTGACCATTGCAGCGAGTTTTTAACGCCACAGTTAAACGTAAAGCTATTGGTAGTTGTAGTATTGGTAGTAAGTGACAGATGCTAGTGGTTCCTTCATTCACTGTCGCTACTGGCAGCTCTCTTTGTAAACAGCTTGTGTTTACTACACTTGCATCTTAGTGCTGTCGTTTCCTTATCCATTTATTCTTTCCAGAGCTGCTGCCAGGGCCAGGCTAGTCAAAAATATAACCAGAATACATCAATGAATATTATTGTTAACTACCTAATTAAAATGAACAGTAAAGAAAAATAGAAAGCTTTCTATGTTTTCTGCAACCTCATATCACACTTCATTTGACCTCCAAAAATCTGTCTGTAAGATAAATAAAATCTTGGTTGATTTTGCCCCTCTGTTTACGTGTTGTCTAGTTCCTCCCCCCAATAAACATTTCCCATTTTCCCAAAGCAGATATGATAATGAGATTGGCATGTCACTGACCAGACTCTGTAAAACTGAATGCTTTTTTAAAATGACAGAATGTCACATTTTATACGTAGATTGAGAGAACAATAGTCAGCAGTACTTATTAATAGTTTTAATTATGTTTCCAAGCAAAACATTTAATCTTTCTCTTATTACAGCTCCAATGTGATGATTTGCTGCTTTTCTCTGTTTTATATTGTCGTAAACTGACATCATTTGTGGGAAACTTTGATGGACATTTTCAGTTTTTTACAGATCAAATTGAGAAAATGATAGAAATAGAAAAAAAGAATCATTAGTTGCAGCCCTACTCTGCTGATGGGTGTTTTATTGTTGTGGAGAATAATAAATAAGTACAATCAGATTATGTTATTTATTTGATAGGTAAAACATGGTATGAACTCTGATTGTGATTATATTGTTTGTCTCATATTTTGTGTTACAGAGCCTGGATCCTCTGCCCATGCAAGGGCCAGAGCTAGGAGTTCAAGCTGACGACATCGAGGCTCCAGATATTGAGCAGGAGCCAAAGCAGGAAGTACTAGAAAACAAGGATGTAAGATTTGTTTTGTTCCAGGCAATAATTTCACCAGACTCTCTCAATAGGACTCTCACACTATGTTTGTGGTTGGCCATCACTTGAAAGTGCAGCTTTAGTCATTTTTGTAGGTGGAAAAAAGTGTATTTTGTTGTGGATGTTCCAGTAGTTTTCTGTCTCTCCTGTTTTTAAGGTTGTCGTTCAACGAGTGCACATAGACGGGCTCGGAAGAACCAAGGACGACGTGTTGACTTACGAAATTGCAGGAGTGTTTCGGGCAAAGAACTTGATTGATGTAGGTGCATGTTAACACAGCTGTACTAATTAATACTTGATCAATTAATACTTGTGAGTAGCTGTCCCTGCCAGCGACACATGGTTCAATTTGTGGTGCAGGTGATGCGAAAGTCCCATGAAGCCCGACAGAAGCTGCTACGCCTCGGTATCTTCAGAAAAGTTGAAGTTGTTATTGACACATCACGAGGTATTGTAAATCACTACACAGCCCTGAAAATGTTTATTATTATTCAATTTATTATACACTTTCCAGTGTACAAATTAAAGTGATTCATTTTCTGTGTTAAACCATTCTTTGTATGCTTTAGGTGAGGATGCTCTTCCTAATGGCCTCGACGTGACATTTGAAGTCACTGAGCTGAGGCGGATGACAGGCAGCTACAACACCATGGTTGGAAACAATGAAGGAAGCATGGTGAGTATTATGATGGTTATCTCATGTCACCATCTACTTACTGATCTGGATCTAATCATAGTGTCATACTGCACTGGCTTCAGTACACTGGTTTATCAATTTCTTTCTGTAAAGATATTTTTTAATGTTGACTTCAGCTGACTGCACTAGTATAATGTCACTGGATCATTTCATTATTCAGCTTGACCCAAATCTAAATTTATGTTTTATGTTTTTTTTATGCATTTGTTATTTTTTGCGACAGATTGAGTTAAAATGTCTTTTACATTGATGTTTTTATTAGTTTATTAACCTCAGTCGCTTTCATTTTAGGTGCTGGGCCTGAAGTTACCCAATGTATTTGGTCGGGCAGAGAAAATGACCTTCCAATTCTCCTATGGGACCAAAGAGACGTCCTATGGCCTGTCCTTCTTCAAACCCCAACCAGGTCACTTTGAACGCAAGTAAGATCTTTACAACGTCAAAAACTAAATTCACATGGTATGCATGTGTATCTGTTATGCAGTTACTGCCCTCATTAGTGTGGTGGTGGAGGTTGGAGAATGAGGGCAGATGAGATGACTCTGCTGGTACTTCAGCTTTAGATTTGGGTCTTATGGAGGTAAATGCCCGAGCAATCTGTGCAGTAACTATGGACTGATATATTTTATAATCATAAAGGAATCCTCGCAGTGTATTTACATTTCTTCTTTTCTTTTTTCAGTATCTCACTAAACGTGTACAAAGTAACAGGTCAGTTTCCATGGAGTTCGCTGAGGGAGACGGATCGAGGCATCTCCACAGAACTGAGTGTAAATATCAATTTTGTTCATTCTCTTGCCTCCTTGCACATGGATGAAGTGAATTAACCCATTTAGGTTGTATTTTCACATAATGAGCTGAAAAGAATCATAGAAGGCGTCAAAATAAAGTCCAGTTGTGGGCTGGAGCTGTGTGGATTTGTTTTAGACCTATTGTCTTGCACTAACATTTACTTACCATATATGGATGGATATTGAAAGAGGCCTACCAATTATTTTTCACATGCTGTAAAGAGACAACAGCTGCTATGTATGCGGTATGCTCATTTACTGCAAATAAAAATAAGAAACTGGTGTTTGTTTTTTTTTATACCAATTTACCACCCACAGTTTCCCGTGTGGAAGACCAGCCAAACCCTGAAGTGGGAGGGAGTGTGGAGAGAGCTGGGCTGTCTGGCCCGCACTGCCTCGTTTGCCGTCCGGGAGGAGAGCGGCCATTCACTCAAGTCCTCACTCTCGGTATTTGTCTCATGCTTTACGTTGAAGATTTTACTATAGGATTTAAAATATTTTTGGAGTTTCCTGAAGTCCTCTGTCAGAGAATTCATGGCAAAGCTGTTATTCAGTTCTCGAGTCAGTCAGTTTCAAAACATTTTGCACAACAAACTCCCATAACTTGCGGGGACAGTGAGTGGTGGATTTGGGTTATGGTGAATCATTGAAAAAGACTGAATATCTAATAGGACATTGCAGTAAGAAACCAATACGTAGCAGTAGTTGTGTGAATTGTGCTGTTTTGTTTTACAGCATTCTATGGTCATCGACACCAGAAACTCCTCCATCCTTCCCAGGAAAGGTGGCCTGTTGAAGATCCATCAGGTTTGTTGTTTAACACTTAGCCACAGCCTTTTTTTTTTCTAAAACTGAAAACAATACGAGTGAACTGTGCACCAGGTTGATGTTTTGTTTTGTGGTTGTGTAGGAACTTGCTGGTTATACTGGGGGAGACGCCAGTTTCCTGAAGGAGGACTTTGAGATCCAGCTCAACAAAACACTCTTTTGGGACTCTGTGAGATTCTACAGTTTTTATTTCATGTTAGCAAATGATCTCTTCTAAAGGCACTTAATGTATTTTACCTTTTAAGTAGTACTGTAGTATAAATTAGAGGATGTAGAAATATAAGATTATTTGTGGTTTATTTATGTACAATAATTAATTTCCAGGGTTCGAATCTGACCTGCGGCCCTTTGCTGCGTGTCATCCCCCCTCTCTGCCCCCCTTTCCTGTCTAGCTGTCCCTATCCAATAAAGGCAATAAAAGGCCAAAAAAAGTAACTTAAAAAAATAGTTGTTGTGATGTACTTCTTCGGTTAGTTTGTAGTTTCTGTAATTCTGAGTTAACTTTACTAAACACTTAAACTCTCTCCTCCAGGTCCTTTCTGCGTCATTGTGGGGCGGTTTGCTCCTACCCATCGGTGACAAGCCAACAAGCATAGCGGACAGGTAAAGAAATATCCTTTTATTATCCACAACCAGGGTTTTTTGACATT